TGGTTGTTAGGTAAATAACAGGTGTTAACGAGGGTCATGCCCTATGGGGCTGGATGATCCACTCACTGATTAGACGCAGATGGTACGATTCTACGAATGGCACCGAAGCGCGCGGTGCTCGCTACTGTCAGGAGGTGGGAGGACAAGCCTCGCTGCAAGGTCAAAGAGTGGTGAGCAGATTGCGCACTGCGGCACCGTTCGTAGAATCATGCCGTCTGGTGGATCAGTGGATGGACCATCTGACCCCATGGGTGCTGAACCCTTGTTAACGCCACCCGCGCTGGGGTATTCGAATATGAATACCCCCATCTATTGTTCGACCAATAAGTAATGGAATTAAATCAAATTGAAAAGGTTATTTATTGCAAAGGTCATATAATGATTAAAGTCAATTGAAAAGCATAATCCAACACATTTTTGTTGTCCGTTTCAGTATTTTACAGAATTGCAGTCCTTTCCATTCTTCAGGCTTTATGATGTGCCCCATTTGGCTGAGAAATGTGCTTGAAAGCTCTTTGCAGTAACAAAAATATGAGTGACTGGTTTGCAGGCAAAGCCTCTTGTAAAATGTGTTACCATATTCTTTCTGTAATGGGGAGGAATGTGAGAAGTAAGGGAAAACCTTTTCATCTACCTAAATTAATCCACTTACAGGAGTTGGGGAATCAAGTTCTCGACGAGGATTAGGATTTATTTTTCTTGTACAGTAGATCTTTTCATGCATTGTCTGAGCAGTATGAAATATATAAAAAGTTTCTCCAGACAATTATATACCCAACTCATGTTAGTACTGTATACTGCAAGCTGTGCCAATTGAGTTCTGAGCCAGTTGATCAAAATTGAATTTTGAGAAGGGTGGATTTAATTTAAATCAAGTCAATTTGAATCACAATTTAAATCACTAGTCAGTAAAACTATTTAAATCAAGATTTTTAAATGTAAATTCTTGCTGATTTTAGTTTCATAGGTTAATCACTCATTTGGAGAGCTACTTAAAAGGTTTTATTTAAAGCAATGACATTATATAGGGTACATATTCTTGTATTTGCTTAAACATCAATGTTTATTATCCAAATTGGTTAAAATATCTTTAGAGAAACAAACACCTTCAGACTAACTGCACAAAATCCCAAGGGTTGTAAGCTGCCCAGAAGGTTTCACAAACTTCAAACTGAGCACTTGAACAAATGTATTCATTGTTTGTACATAGATTTGCAGAACAATGGGATTAAAGTCTTTTCCTGAACTTTTGTTTATACCATTTTTACTATGAAAAAGTATCTCAGCTTGGAAAATTTGGGATTAATTTTATTAGTTTACCAAAAATGTAAATTCTGTATGAAGATACAGCCTCATGATACATAACAGCTGTATTTCATGCTGAACTATAGTGTATCTTAAAAAGAAAACTAGCTTTAAATAAATTTTCCTCCAGAAACATTTCATTAAAATATATTTGATTAAAATTTTAAAAACCCAATTTAAATCAAAGTCTGATTTAAATTAAAAAATAATTTTTGATTTTTTAAAATTGTTGATTTTAATCTGCCCTGGTTTTGATTTTGAGCAACACAATGGGACAGACAGAACATAGCTTTTAGCACTCTATTCCTGATCAGAATTTTGCCGGGCTGACATAGTGTTTGATGCTTATCCATTCTTAGCCTGCCCTTCAATTAACAAATCTAAGGTATATATGAATTCATTTTTGGAACTGGTAGGAAATGAATATGGACACAATGCCTTATTCTGGATTTGAGGAAACTAAATCAAAGTACTTCTACTGTAGAGAGGACCAGCAGTTGGATTTAGAGAGTACTGTACTTGGAAGTGGTTTACCATTTCCTTCTTCTGGGGACATACTGGGACTGTGCAACTTGCCCAAAGTTACATAGTCTGGCTCTTCTAGGATTTATACTGTACTCGGAAATTGAACTCTTGACCATGCCTAACTCACTGAGCTATAGCGCTATTAGATACTTTGTCAACCCTGTGTAAGTTCTATTGATGGAATGATTGTACTCTATTTGGGGGCTGGCTAGCTCAGTGAGTTAGGTATCTGGCTGTGGAGCCAGAAGCTAGGAGTCTGATTCCCCACTGTGTCCCCCTGTAGTAGAACTAGCCTGTGTAGCCAATGACATAATCTCAGAGCAGAGACTGGAAAACGTTTTTCTGAATACCATATTGTATTTAGAAAACGCTGGGGTCACCATGTCAGAATTTTCTTGACAGCTTGCAATTATTATTCCATTTGGGACAAACAATTGGATTTAGCCAAAGAATTTATGAGGGCTGTGAAAATATTTTTATGCATCTGCACAATATTCCTCTATATTACATCTCTGAACAATGTGTACACTGGCTGCTTTTGAATAACATCTTGCATTCTGGAGGCACTTGAAGATTTCTAAAGTTTGTACACTTGGGACTGCCTTAAAAATACTACTGCAGAATGGATTTTGGTATTTTTCTTACAGTCAACGTGGCTTCACCTGCCCTTTTAATGAACATTGATCCTTTTTTGGCTAGCAGCCAGACACAATATATTATTATTTCAAAGTCAGCTGAAGTTCTCTCAGTACAGAAATGGATGATAATATTGTGGAAACTCCTTTTAGTGGGAAAATGACATGGTGACACACCAGTGATAAACTGACCCTTTTTGTGATATATGGCACACATGTAACTTGAGCCAAAATAAATAAGCTGGCTGTCCATCCTCCATGACACATAACTCTGCAGAAAGACTGAGTAGGATGAATATCAATCTAGGAGAGATTAATAGGCAATAATACTATAAACATCTGAATATGACTTACATTTATATGTGTGAGTGAAGTGTGTTGTCATTTAGTCGTGGCCGACTCTTTGTGACCCCATGGATCGCAGTACAGCAGGCCCTCCTGAAATGAAGTGTACATAGTTGCAATTACTTGTTACAACTATAAATTTATACTAAAACACTGTTTCTATATTAGCAGGATAAAAAAGGTAACTTGGTTTACCAATACAGTTGTGTTCAAAATTATTCAACCCCCAATGCTGTAAAGGGGTTTGGGGACTATAGTGTACATTTGGAATTGTATTCAGAATGAAATCCTACAAGGACGTTTTAAAGAACCAAATGCAACTAAAATAACATCAATTGTTTATGTAATACAGTAGTAAATGTTTCTTTTGTGGTTTCTTCATTGCCACAATTATTCAACCCCTTAAAGACTACCACTCTGAAGAAGAGAGGTTCATTCAGGTGTTTTCGATCAGGTATTGAAAACACCTGCGGATGTCACCGAGCACCAATCAAGCATAATAAGCACCAATTAGGCAGCTTTAAAATGACTGTGATACTCAGCTCCTTCTAGACATTTACTGGTGTGGTTACAAACATGGTGAAGTCAAGAGAATGGTCCAGGAAGACAAGAGAAGAGGTGATTTGTCTTCACAGGAAGGGCAATGGCTATAAGAAGATTGCAAAGAAGTTAAACATACCAAGAGACACCATAGGAAGCATCATTCGCAAATTCAAGGCAAAGGGCACTGTTGAAATGCTACCTGGTCATGGAAGAAAGAAGATGCTGACTTCGACTGCTGTGCGCTACCTAAAGCGTAGAGTGGTGAAAAGTCCCCGTGTGACTGCTGAGGAACTGAAAAAAGATTTGTCAGATGTGGGTATAGAAGTTTCAGCTCAGACAATAAGGCGCACACTGCGTAATGAAGGTCTCCATGCCAGAACCCCCAGGCGCACCCCCTTGCTGTCTCCCAAGAATAAGAAGAGTCGACTGCAGTATGCCAAAAGTCATGTGGGCAAACCACAAAAGTTGTGGGATAGTGTTCTGTGGACTGATGAAACAAAATTAGAACTGTTTGGGCCCATGGATCAACGCTATGTTTGGAGGAGGAAGAACAAGGCATATGACGAAAAGAACACCTTGCCTACTGTGAAGCATGGCGGAGGGTCAATAATGCTTTGGGGCTGTTTTGCTTCTGCAGGTACAGGGAAGCTTCAGCGTGTACAAGGTACCATGAATTCTCTTCAGTACCAGGAGATATTGGATGAAAATGTGATGCAGTCCGTCACACACCTGAGGCTTGGGAGACGTTGGACCTTTCAACAGGACAATGATCCCAAGCATACCTCCAAGTCCACTAGAGCATGGTTGCAGAGGAAAGGATGGAACATTTTGGAGTGGCCATCGCAGTCACCAGACTTAAATCCGATTGAGAACCTCTGGTGGGACTTAAAGAAAGCAGTTGCAGTGCGCAAGCCTAAGAATTTGACTGAACTGGAGGCTTCTGACCATGAAGAATGGGCGAAGATACCTGTAGATCGCTGCAAGACACTTGTGTCAAGCTATGCTTCACGTTTAAAAGCTGTTATAACTGTAAAAGGATGTTGTACTAAGTACTAAGATTGAATGTCACTTGGGGGTTGAATAAAAACTAATAATGATGTGAGCACAGAAAAGACATTTGTGGTTATTTCATTATAAACTTAAGGTTATATTTCTCTGACCTACAAGTGCCTCTTTCATGTAAATATAAGCAAGATGACTGAATGATCAAAATCAATGTCAAAATGGCCAAAACATTCAATTTCAGTGGGGGCTGAATAATTTTGAACACAACTGTAAGTTGGCTTTGCCTTTTTTTAAAAAAGCAATTTCATATAACATGAAAATAAGATGCTGGAGTGCTGTTCTGTGAAATGCTGCATAATAAGGGAAGACTGAACCATGTCCCCAGTCTATAACCCAGAAAGAAGCTGAACAGCAAAGTTCATAAAATATTTTGGAATACATTTTCTTCCTACACTGTATGGTTTTGTGATTAACAGTTGTTTCTTTTCATGTGGGAATTAGCATAGACAAGATTGCTAGATTTACCTATATATTTCCACAAAACCTTATGCAATTCCACTCCCTTGGGAGTGAATTGCATAATTATTTCTTTTATTCACACTTTTGGCTTATGGGTATCCTAAGGGCTTTATTTCATCCTCATGCTTGTTGGCATCTGCATGAAGCTGCTCAGAGAGATTATTGGCTGTGCTGATAATCTGCAAGTTTCTCATGTCAAGAAAGCTACAGTATGAAAGCATTGAACCATTGTGTGTAGTGATAAACTGAATGTGTGCAAATGGAGGTTCAATTCTACTGAGTTATGGACAGAAGTCTTTTAATTCAACAGAAAGGGCAATTTAAGACTAGGAATTCAGGAGGCGGAGCTTGATTGCAGTGAAGCCAGCAGCTCCCGGCTAATAGCTCACGGGAAAAGCTGGAACAGCCTAGCCCGTTGTCCCTCTAGAAAGGGGGAGACGGAAGGGGAGGCCAGGAGAGGTCACCCCCAAGCAGATGGTGAGCCCAGAAGGTAGAAGATTTGGCAGCAACCGGGTCTTCCCTCTGAAAATTCACCCAAGCACGGACTGGAGACGGGAGGCCATCTTATGGCAGAAAGCTGTGTGAAAACTCCACCCCCAGTTCCCGAAGAAGGAGAACAAAAATACAGCCGAAAATACACAATAACAAAGTAAGTCTTTGATTTATGAACAACCTCATTAAGATGTTAAAGAAACTAAAGTGAAAATACCTGACTGAAAAGAGAGCAGAAGCGGCGAGCTGGCACGCCAACCTGTTTTTTTTCCCCAAAGCGAACTGACTTTTAAAAAACAAGTTTACAACTAGCAGACTGGCTCAAGGTCAATGAGATAAGACAGCAAGACGGAAAAAGTTTGTGTTTCTGGAAAAAAATCCCAGTGGAAATATTACTCAACAATCTTTAAGGAACTGAAATCTTGTTAATGCTGTACGGTCTGGATTCTTACTAGTTTGAGTGGGACTTTGAAA